AGCAGCAGTCAGCCTAGCCCCATCGCTCCGGCCGCTCAGAAGCGTGCGGGTTATTATGGGCACTGCTTGACTCTGCCTGTGCTGTAAGAAAACTACCTTAGTCAGTGATGCAGAACAATGTGATAATTTCCGTATATTTCCTTTCTATAAATCCATTTTCATTGTATTGAACATAACAAGTATTTGGGTAGTATTCAAGGATTCTGCAGAAGGTTTCATTGAAAAGTGGACAGAAAGCAAGTAGGTGTGGGTTGGTTTTTTTTCATAGAATCACAGAATGGTTTGGGTTGGAAAGACCTTAAAGATCATTCAGTTAACCCTCCTGTCATGGGCAGGGACACATTCTGCTAGACCAGGTTGGTTCAAGACCCATCCAGCCTGGCCTTGAACACTTCAGGGGTGGGACATCCACAGCTTCTCTGGGCAGCCTGTGCCAGTGCCTCACCACCCTCACAGTGAAGAATTTCTTGCTAATATCTAATCTAAACCCCTTTTTCAGTTTAAGCCATTCCTCCTTGTCCTGTCCCTCCAGGCCCTCTCCCTCTGGGACTTCTGCTGCAGGGGAAAATAAGAAAATTTCTGTCTGCTGCTGCTTAATAGAAAGGAGAGTGAACTTAGCCGCTCTGAAAGACCTTTGTGTTTCTTTTTAGACTCCTGCTTGGAGCCAAAGAATGGCATATGTAAGGGTAGGGGCAGAACAGGGAAAGAAAGTGACCGAAGTGCTGGTTCACTAACAGAGATTCAAGGCCAGAATAGTTGTCTTACACAAAACAAGGAGGCATCTGGCATTCTGAGATATTTGATTTGTATTTAGAGAGTAATATTATTAGACAGTACTTTTCTCCCTTCTCTTATGGGCTACACAGTATGTTTTACCCTGCTCTTCTTTCTGAAGGCCCTTTATGGTGATCCTGGCTTTTCTTAAGCTTTCCAAACTGAAGCCAGACTAATCACCTTGTCAGTGAGGAATATTTCACTAATCATTCTGCTTCTGAATTTTCAAACAACACATCTGAACGTAGAACTGAGTTAAATGATTTTTGTGGAATACAAAGGTGTGAATAAGGAAGCATGTACAGAAATCTGTGCGTACAAAACACCTTGCCCCTCTCCAGGCTGGTCTTCGTTGTTTTCTATTATCCTTTGGCATGTCACAAACGTTTCTGGCAGACTGGGGAGATGCAAACTATATTGAAAGTTGAGTCACTATTCAGATATACTGTTCTGAAGCTTTTTGTACCTCCTGAGCTGCCTGGTCAAGAAGGAGTACACAGTAGTTCTTTTCTCACTGTCTTTAGGTAAGATTTGGTTTCTGTTTAAACTGTAAGTGAAATACCAAATGTAAATTAATAAAAAATTTCAGGGACTCACTAGATTGATGCTGCTTTGTTGAGAAATTACTAGTTCATCTTTTTTTTTTTTTTTTTTGTTATCCTAATTCTGACCAGATCATTTTTCTTATTAGCATTATTCAGGACTAGAAGAAGCTGTCTACAGGAACATCCAGGCATGCAAAGAACTTGCTCAAACCACCCGTACAGCTTATGGACCAAATGGTAAATAAATCTTAAAATTATTGCCACATTTTTGAGACAAATGCTATGTTTGAAAGCTAAACCTACCTTGAAAAAGGAAGCAACTATTTGTTTCTTGAGGAAACACACTGGATGTGCTCTGGAACTGTAAATATGTTCTTTGTGACTATACAGTCACATTTTATTTGTTAGCTCTTGAGTTATGTGCAGTGTAACTGCCTTTGCCAGATTTTTGTAGGAGTTCCTCTGCTGTCTTACTGCTATAGGAAAGACTACAAAAGTTAAAGGAAGATGGTAACTTGATAGATAGTCATAATGAGCATAACCATGATCATGTCCAGTCAGATACAGCAAAACAAAAGATGTTCTCCTGTATCGGTTAATTCAATAATGTGCCAATATTTCTGAATAGAAAACTGCTTATTTAGAAATTACTGATTACTCCTTCATGTAACACACTTCCAAGTATTATTTTGCAAAAGTCTTTTAGGTTCTTAAATTATAAATAGGGCTAGCCTCTCAATGTGTAAGATACACATGGAAGTTATGAAACAGTGTCTGTGTACAAAGTATTGTTTGCCTAATGAGTGATTTTTAAATTTTTTTTTTGTTTTCTCTGACAGGAATGAACAAAATGGTTATCAATCATCTGGAGAAACTTTTCGTTACGAACGATGCTGCTACTATCCTGAGAGAGCTGGAGGTGAGTTTTCTTGCTTCAGAAGGTGTCAGTTGTGGAGCAGCATTTCTGGTAATGGGCTGCTATGGTTCTGACTGTCAGTCACGAAATACATGTCACTCTGCCAGACGATATAGATATATCATTTTGTAAGTCATTTACCTCTTCCACTAAAAATGCATGTCACTCTGCCAGACGATTTACATATATCATTTTGTAAGTCATTTACCTCTTCCACTAAGTTTGAATGAAGTTAGTGGGTTCTATCCACAGTGGGGAATATAACTCTTCTGTAAACCAGCGTTAAGTAGGTGTAGGAGATGCTTAATAATTACCTACTTTTTTTTTCCCCCTAAAAAGCAGGGTAGGAGAGGCTAAGTCTAGAAATAGTGTTTTGAAAAAGTCTGAATGAAGTAGCTGTTGTGTTAATCTCTGTGTTGTTGGCTGCCATGTTCTCCTGTTATCCTAGAATCTATCAGTTGAGTTTAAGAAGCTGAGGATATGGCAGCATCCTCCTGTAAATACTGTAAAAGCATGGAAAGACTGTTCTGGCCTAACTTTTCCTCCTACCATCAAATTCATACTTGTGACACAAGAGACTTTATTTAATGGTAGAAATAGAGTAAGCATGAAGTTATTTCCTTACTGAATGCATTGTGTTAGTGTTCAGTATGAGTAGAATAACTGTGGAAGTCTCAGGTCTGTTTTAAAAGATAATCTGCAGACTAGTGACTGAATCTGATGAGTCTTGCATGTTACTTTCTGGTGTAAAATGACAGCTGCTCTAATGTTATTCAAGAATGCAATAAATAATTTGTATTTTTACTATTAGGGAAGTTAATTGAGATAATCTGTGCTGCTTTCTCTTCCAATTTTGTGCATTGTTGGTATCTTTAGATTCAATTTGAAATAAGAGAGCTTATACTGGATGCACAGAAAAGCCTGGAGCTGCAGTCCCAGGTGTACTGTTTGTAACTGAGATGTGTAACTTCTTTTGAAGGTCCAGCATCCTGCTGCAAAAATGCTTGTGATGGCTTCCCACATGCAAGAGCAAGAAGTTGGAGATGGAACAAACTTTGTCCTTGTTTTTGCTGGAGTTCTTCTGGAATTAGCAGAAGACCTTCTGAGGATGGGGTTATCCGTCTCAGAGGTGTGTTAGAGTGCCATTGCAATTACCATAGCTTGAATTCTTGGGTTATAGTATTGTGGATCATCTGCTTTCTTTTGAACTAATGCTTTAGATAAAGAAGTGTGTTTTGCTGCCTGTGAATGCTTGCTTCCCTTGTAAACTTTTGCATTTCTGAATGTTTTATGGCTCTTTGAAAAGGAAGTAGAAACAGTATGAATGGCTAGTGAAGTGTAGTGAATGTTTATTGTTTGCTGCACAGGTGATTGAAGGATATGAGAAGGCTTGCAAGAAAGCCCTAGAAATTCTTCCAGACTTGGTGTGCTGTTCTGCAAAGAACCTTCGAGATGTTGAAGAAGTGGCGTCTTTGCTGCACACTCCAGTGATGAGCAAACAGTATGGCAATGAACGTTTCTTGGCAAAGCTTATTGCTCAGGCCTGTGGTAAGTGGACAAGAATAGATGCATGAATGCATCTAAAAAAACTTGAGTAGGTTTGCTTATGGTCATTGCTGCTGTAAGAGAAAAGGTATGGTTAGTTTAACAGTTTGAATGGAATGGAATGCTTTAGCCTCTGACATGAGGGTAACCTTTCTCATGTTGAGCTCTTCATTGGCATTATAGCTCAGAAGGTGTGTGCTTCCTATTAAACATTTATAGAAATAGCTTTCTGGTCTTTTTAGTGCAGGAACTCATCTTACTCCTTTTTTTAGCGTTAGGAAGATGTATTGCACTTCAGATAAGCTGTTAGTAGTCTCAGCCACAGAACAATGGAAGCAAGACTGTATTTCTTTTGGATTCTGTTCTCTCCCTTTAGATTTCCAAGGAAAAGCTTTGTGTTTAGTTCCGGTGTTGCGCACAGAATATTCTGGGTCAGACTTCTCTCTTGAATGTACATATGTGAACAGATATTTAGACTTAATTAACTGAGCAGCCTGAGTGAATGTTGCTTTCTGACTACTACGTAGTAAAAACAAAATTTCTGTTTCTCTTGATGCCAGTTATTCACAGGTTACAACTGTCTTAAATTTAGGCAGGCATCTCAAACCAGTGAATTTTAGTACTTCAGAAAAATTCCAGCTGTTATTTATGGTATCATTGTTCTACTTAATTTATTAAGCAACACATATTCATTCTTTTTACCTTTTTAAATTTTTTTTCCATATTTTCCAAACAGTTTCTATTCTTCCTGATTCTGGTCATTTCAACGTTGACAATATCAGAGTGTGCAAAATTGTGGTAAGTTTGAAGTAGCTAGTTTTACTGTATCATTAAGGTAAACAGTTAAATGAAGGTTAGTCTTTGAAATCTATTCTTTTATTTAATATTATTTACTTTGAATATTAATATTGAAAGTAATGTAAAATGGGAGCTTGTAAGGCAATATTTGTTGTTGCTGAGTCTTATTTATGCTGCAGTGATAACTTAGGGTGTTCCATTCAAATGATTGTAATGTCTGCTTTTCATGCAGGGTGGTGCAGCTTTCTGACAATAAATGATCAGTAATATGATGTTCCCTCATTCATAGAACCATAGAATCACAGAACTGTTTGAGTTGGAAGCAACCTTAAAGATGTAAGGCAATATTTGTTGTTGCTGAGTCTTATTTATGCTGCAGTGATAACTTAGGGTGTTCCATTCAAATGATTGTAATGTCTGCTTTTCATGCAGGGTGGTGCAGCTTTCTGACAATAAATGATCAGTAATATGATGTTCCCTCATTCATAGAACCATAGAATCACAGAACTGTTTGAGTTGGAAGCAACCTTAAAGATCATCCAATCCAGACCCCCTGCCATGGGCAGGGACACTTTTCTGCTAGACCAGGTTGCTCAGAGCCCCATCCAACGTGGCCTTGGACACTTCTGGGGATGGGGCAGCCACAGCTCCTCTGAGCAACCTGTGCCAGTGCCTCATTACCCTCACAGTAAAGAATTTCTTCCTAATATCTACTCTAAGCCTGCTCTCTTTCAGTTTGAAGCCATTCCCCCTTGTTCTGTCACTATATGCCCTTGTAAAAATTCCCAGATTCCATTTATTTCCTTCCAGGGTGCTGGTATTTCTGCTTCCTCAGTACTGCATGGCATGGTTTTTAAAAAAGAAACTGAAGGAGATGTTACTTCTGTCAAAGATGCAAAAATAGCTGTATATTCCTGCCCTTTTGATGGTATGATAACTGAAACTAAGGTATGTTGAAGCTCAAAATAAGTTACATCTCTCTTTATGCTCATGTGCTCTTATTTTTAGACTTGACACTTGGTGATTGAGATATTTTGGTTAGTATGGAGTTTATTGATTTTAAAAAGTGAATAGAAAACATCTGAACCTAATTTTGCTTCACAGGGTTTTTGAGATTGGGGTTGTGGTGTTGGTTTTGTTGCATTACTTGAGCCAAACTGCATGCTCAAATGTGAACCTCGAGGTCATCTAAAAATACCATAATTTCCCATTTCTTTAGACTTGCTTTACCTTGTTGCCTAGGAAGGGTGTCAGTATTACAAAATCAGACAACTTGAGGTTTGTGGATAGTTTGGGAGAGAATGGTTTGTCAAAAACTTTTAGGCATGTGGTTTAAGGCTGAATTGATAACAGTCTATGTGTTTTACTAGGGCACTGTACTTATAAAGAATGCTGAAGAACTGATGAATTTCAGTAAGGGAGAAGAAAATCTAATGGAGTTACAAGTCAAAGCTATTGCTGATAGTGGTGCAAATGTAGTAGTAACGGGTGGCAAAGTGGCAGACATGGCACTTCATTATGCCAACAAATACAATCTTATGTTAGTCAGGTAAGTACTACAAGAGCAGAAAAACCTTTGTTCTACTACATTTATGAAATGTACTTGCTGTCTTGTCTTTTATCTGTTGAACAAATTGACAACAAAATATTGCAGACCACTTGTTCTTCTAGTGAGTGAAAATCTGACCTACAATTTTCTTATTTCAGAGCTTAAGTTTCCTGATAGAATTTCACCTCTGTATGACAGCTAATTGGGGAGTAATTTGCGTATATGTATGTGCATATGTAGATGTTATTCTGGTTTAAGTGTCTGTAGCACAGCTGAAATCAAGAATATAAAAATCTGTGGATCTAGTAAGGAGGGATGTGGTTTCAAAGGCCTGTGAGACTATTCCATAATAGTTTCTCCTCATTACAGTTATGTGATGGTTTAGCAATGAGGAGAGGCCTCTGTGCTTGTATTTAGAGATGGAAAAACTAATTCTTAGCACTTCTCTGTCATTTTTCTGTTTGGTTAGTTGTCTGATAGATAAGTAAATTAAATTTGTGCATAATATAAAGTCAGATTTACTAGCAGCAGCTCTCACAAAAATATGTGATCCTTTGTGTAAATTCACTGGTGGTGTCCAAAAACTTTGCACTTCTGGAGACAGAGCACGATTCTGTAATCTCTTGCATAATGGAGAAGGATTATTATAGAGGCATTTGTAAAGGTCTTTTGCACTAGAGGGTGAAGTTTGTTAATTTCCATGTGTTTGAACCTCTTACTTGCTTTTAAATTCTTACAAAATAGTCTTGGCACAGCATCTCTGAAAATAGATAATTATAACTCTAAAAAAATAATTGAGTAGGTTTTATAACTTGATGGAGTAGGTTTTGATCTCATAATTGGTTTATGAAATGCTGCCAGGTTTAGAGAATACTCCTGTATATGTTAACACTGTTCTCAAAACTTGTTTTTAAAGGTTGAACTCCAAGTGGGATCTGAGAAGACTCTGCAAAACTGTTGGTGCAACAGCCCTACCCAGACTGGTATGGACTTTTCAGATGATGAGCAGGAGGGAGAGAACTGATGAGCAGGTTCATCTCTTAACTCTTGTTTTTCTTTCCAGACTCCCCCTACTCTTGAAGAAATGGGTCATTGCAACAGTGTGTATTTATCAGAGGTTGGGGATACTCAAGTTGTTGTGTTTAAGCATGGTATGTATGTTCTGTAGAATTTCTAACACTGCTGTTCTAGAATTAAGATGCTCATGTATTTTACATCTAAGAGGCGTAACTCAGTAATGTGTGTGTCTGAATAGAAAAGGAGGATGGTGCCATTTCTACTATCCTCATTCGTGGATCCACGGACAATCTGATGGATGACATAGAGAGAGCAGTGGATGATGGTGTCAATACTTTCAAAGTACTAACAAGGGTAAGTAATGAGAACACTTGAGCTACCAAAAGTGAGCAGTGGATCAGTTTGAGGCACGACTTGTGCCTGCTTTGTGCTCATTTGCTCCAGAGGTTGTAGCAGGTATTTGTGTTACCTGCTTGGGAGCCTTCTGGAGGTGTAGAGAGGCTGTGTAGAAAAGATTGCTGCCAATGTTGTTGTGAATATAGTGTGCATAAAAAACATGCTCAGCATGTACTGCACTCAGTTTTCCAGTAATGAGTGTGTTCTTGAAGGTTGTTTAGTTTTACCACTTGCTAATGAGAGATCTTTCTTGACTTTTCTCTAAATGTTTCATAATGTTCCTTGGTAAACAGGCACAGGAAAAAAACTAGATAGCTTTGTCACTTGGGATCAGGAGGAACTGACTGGTTGCAGACTAAATTTCTAGTTCATTGGTGACAAGAAGTGCTGTTTCTGCATAATACAGATACGTTTTATGGATGGAAGAACTGAGTTTTATGGAGTTGTTTGGGTATTTTTTTTTTGAGCAGCTTTTGTGGACTTGAATATTCTTCTTTCCTTTTGCATTTTTTTATACAAAAGGAAAGCTTGTGTATTTACTTTGAAAATGGCATGCAAAAATTGGTAAAATTCCTGGTTGGTGCTTAATCTCCTGTACATACTGAGACATGCACATTGATTTAGACTACAGAAACACTGTGCATTTATGATTGTCTCCAGGAGCTGTTTGACTTAGGATGTATGATTGGTTTTTGGTTTAAAAGATCAGAGTTACTAAGTAAATGCTGGTTTGCCAAAGGATATACAAAATGCTTAATTTTAAACAAGAGGAAACAAAACCAAAACTCCAACACCTTGTGATACTTGTTGACATATTAAACTTAGTGTACAGTAGATTGGTTTCCTGCATATTTCCCACCAAATTAACAGAAAAGATGAGAAAAAAATAGGAATTCTATTATCAGCCAAGAGTTGAAATTGTTCAAAAGAATCAAGACATAAACCCCACTGTATTATTATTTTGCTTTTTACAAAATAACCTGTTTTTCTTCAGAGGTATTGGAATGAATGAGTAAACTCTGTAGGTTTCCCTTATAATGCATACTTGTTTTGAAGTTGATTCTTCTTAATTAGTCTGTGTGGAATAAAGTTCTAGAGCATTCTTGATAGAGTGTATAAACTCTAAAATGTAAAAATTTATGTCACACTTTAAGCAAGCTGCTGTGTTTTGGTGTGATCTTGTTCACAGGACAAACGCCTTGTTCCTGGAGGTGGTGCAACAGAGATCGAATTAGCCAAGCAGATCACATCTTACGGAGAGGTACAGCAAAGAGGCTTCTTGGCTTTTCATTTTTTATCACACATCTTACAAAAAAATACGCATGTTATTTTGTATCAACACATATATGTGTATTAATAAAAACTCTGGGGGAAAATGTGTCCCTATCTTACGGTTTTTGAAATGCTGACGTGGATTTCAACTTCACTTTAGACTTGTCCTGGGCTTGACCAATATGCCATCAAGAAATTTGCTGAGGCATTTGAAGCCATTCCTCGAGCACTGGCAGAAAACTCTGGAGTAAAGGCTAATGAGGTCATTTCCAAACTCTATGCTGTGCATCAGGAAGGGAAGAAAAATACTGGATTTGATATTGAGGTAAGTCCCATGTTACTTGGTGCTCTGCAGTACAGAGTTATATTTAAAAGTGCTTGTATCAGTGTGAAGTGTCGTATCGATCATTGGAAACTCTGCATTGCACTGTCTAGAATAATAACTTCTTAGAATTGAAATACTTAGGTGGGTTTTTTTATCAGCAAGCAGTGTAGTATAGTGCCTTATGGAGGAGGTGAAATGGTATACTGAACCAATGTGATGGAGAGTAGGTCTTCAGTAATGACTGATTTTGTCT